ACTGATGTATCGAAAAAAAATTTATAGGTTTTGTGATATGATAGACTGTGGCTAATTTGTAGTGTGTGACAGTTGCTACTGGTCTGCTAAATGATGGCTGAGGCTTGTGTTTAGGTTCTGAGTTTGATGTCTTTAACAGCCCTTATTGCTGGCTATCGTTTGTCAAATGCTAATATAAAGTTTTAATTTTAAAATTTTTTTTAAGTGAGCTGCAGTTACTTATTGACATGGTTAACGACTTTATAACTACAAATTAGTGGTGCTAACCTTTTTTGAGCCACGGCACAACTTGAAGTTAAACCATGACCTAAACTTCACACGGTTCGTGGGATTTCCTGAAAATTTTGACATTTTTCAAACTAATGTGCTGCGGCACAAAGGTTGACCATTACATAATAATCATGGTTTGAGACTTGACACTAGAAAAATTTTCGATTATATTTCGAATCACTTTCAATAGAAATGAACTTAACGGTCTTTTACTGTAGGTTACAGGCTGGATCTTACTATAAACTCTCAACTTTAAATTCTTATAGTATTGTTTCACAAATAACGAGTTGATCTTAAGGTCTGAACAGCGACAGTTTTAATTTTACAATTTCTTCATCAACTTTAGTTCAAGAAAGACATGGAATTCCTTTACCTGATCCACCCCATTCAACATAAAACTCATAACTCTTCCACAATTCCATTCAACAAACTTCGTTTCATATCCCAATGAATCAAAAAAAAGGATCAAAATTTGATCATCAAATCAATGGAATATCAAATAAAATAAATTTCACATCTAGCACAATAAAGAATTTATAAAGGAAGTAAAGGAACCAATTTTATTCTTCCAAGCAGTAGAAAAATTTTTTTTTTCATATTTACACCTCACATTTATGACACTGCATTGTCCATTCTTAATGATGCGTTTCTGAAAGGATTTTTGTACCTACATTCAAAGTACGCTTGCATGTCCTAACATGGAACGAATATGACAATATAAATTGTGTAACATTTTAGGACAACAAAGTGCATTTTATGGCTAGTGTACAAAAGCATTGAACGGAAATGCATCTTAAACGGTGCGGTAAAGAAATGTCAAGGACATTTTTTTTATATTTCGATATTAAAAGAAAATTGATTTAGGAAGTAAAATAAAATAGAAAGTTTCACGATTCCCATGAAATCAAAAATTTATTTTCATTGTTCAATAAATTTTTTGTCCATAAATGAAAGTGAAGCAATGAGGAAAGTCCCAAAAAATCGATATTTTTCATTTAAGAGTTCAAGGATATAAAAAAATAATAATTTTTATTTAATAAAATTTTTGGAGCGGAAATGATTTGTTCTATTGTATTCATAAAACTGAATTGAGAAGGAGATCGGCTGATAGGCTTAGTAGTAATAATGCCAATAATAATTCTCTTGATTAAATTTATAGAAAATCATAAATGAATATGAGAGAATCATTGAAAATGAAAGTGTTTTTAATGAAGTATTTTCTGGGGGTTCAGGGTCGTGTTGATAGAACGGAAGATAATTTTGCTTACGGGTTTCAAATTTTGCTTGTTTCCTGAAATAAATTTATTTCTGGAAAGATGTTTTCACAATTGCTGGGACCCACCCAGTCGTACTCATTTTTTTTTGGAAAAAAATTCTCAATCGAGTGACTTAGACATCAAATTTTAATGAGAATCGAACCCAAGTCTTTTTAAAAAAGCAGTAACAATTTTTACTGCTGATGTCTAGTCATTAGCCTACAGAGGCCTTATTTCATCTTTAATTATAAGTTTTGATATATTCAGCTCGAAGAATATAGTTCCTTGCTATGTAAAAATCAAGAACATCAACCAAAAAGCTAAAAACTGAGTAATAGCCGACATAAAACAACCACATCCACAACTGCAACACAATATTCATTCCTTAAAAGAAAATAATCATCAAAAAAGTTCATTTCTAATCCCACACAATTCTGCAACTTGAAGTTGTTACGTGAATTGCATGATGATAATAAAAAAAAGTAAAGCCACAATAAACGCGACATACACACATGAGAAGGCGTGTCTATTGATCGAAGTAAGAAAAATTATCTTATCGTGATGTCTTTTTTGACTCATCTTTTATTTGCTTGTTGTTTTCTTTGTTTCTTCATCTTCTCACAATCGGACGAGATATATCCGACAAAAAGGCAACAGCAACAGCAGCAACGATGAAGAGATAGAGAAGAAAGACAAGAAAAAATAATCGATATTTGAGATCTATTGATGGTGCTGCGATAAAAAAGATGAAAACTTCTACGCTTCAAAATGGTTATGATAATTACAGCTTTGCTTACAGTTGTGCGGTGGGCACAATCACAGTAAAGTCAAAAAAAAAAATTACCAATGGAGATGCGTAATGTGGGCTTATTGTATCTCAAAAAAAAAAAAAATCTGAAAGCACTTTTGCCTCACATTATTATTTTTATTGTTTTTGTATATTTCATATATCTCATTTTAAATTGCTTAGGCTTGACTACTACCTATTATGGATATGCCATGAGATTGAACAGTCTTCCTCATTTCGAATAAATTTTTTTACTGTGTGCTGTATCTTTAATACCTAAATGCGAGAGACGTGAAAAACTTTAATGGCATCCAAAAAAAGTTTTTTTGTGTGTATATTTGATACCGAGAGCACAAAACGAGATTGTTTATGAGCATTTGGGAGCGTTATTGGGGATTCTGCGCAGCACAAAATTCAACGAGATAAAGAGCAAGTAAAATTATTTCAGAAGAAAAACAGGAATGGCAACATGCAACAAAATGAAGTCACAGAATCGAATACAATTTTTTTTTGTATTTAAAGTCTCATAAGAGGAGAGAAAAAGTTGAATTCATCATATGAAATTTTCTTGACCCCGGAGTTTTGAGGTAGAAAAACCAGTTGGTTTGGTTTGGGAATCATCATCACTTTTTCTTCTTTGTTTTCTTCTGTTTGAATCGCTTCGTTTTCAGCAAAATTATTAAACATAAAGATTTTTTTGATGCTGCAGTAAAATATTGGAACAAAATTAAGTTTTGATTTTTTGATTGGTGTCATGTAAAGTTGTTTATATTCTTAAATTAACCATATATTTCTAAAATAACAAGAAACATACACGTAAAGATTATAGATTTAAAACTAAATCAAAAATTCAAATCCTTTAAAAATTATTTCTGAAAAATAGAATTATACTCAAATTTATAACAGAAAGATTTTTTTAATTTTTTTCAATTTTTTAATCATTCATTTTCAGTTTTTTTCATTTTTCTATTTACAAATTTAATGTTAAATATTGATTTGTTTTAATTAACGATTATTTACGCTGATCCATTTTAATTCTCTGTAATTTTTTTCCTTAAATTTTTTTTTGTTCATACAAGGGGGCGGTATAAGAGCAAATAAAATGATTTTTTTATACTTTAATAATTTTTTTTCATGAAAATTTCTCTCATTATTTAAAATTATATATAATTTATATTTACTAATCACCTTACACATTTAAATTCCTTCCATGATAATAACTATAATTATTTTTTTAATAAATTTTTATGTTATTTTTCTCTTAGTCTACAATTTTTTGCATGAAAATACCTTTTTTTGATATAATTTTTCACTTTTTATTTTGAAAATTTTTACTTTCATTTAAATCTTTTTTCATTTAGCATTTTACAGAATTTATAATTATCATAATTATTAATATTATTTAGTTTCATATTTATAATATTTCACAATTTTTTATATCAATTTTATCAAAGGATTTTTGTTTATTTTCTATTTTGTTCATTTTTTTCAAGAGATTCAACTTGAGAGATTTTTTGAGATTGGAAACAAAGGAGGGACATCGTTGTATAACTTTATAAATTTTTCTGGGTAGGGCTATTGATCTTTGATTTTTTTATGATTATTTTTAAATTTTTCTGGCAAGTTTTGTGGAATTTATTGAATATTCTAACCAGCTTTTTGTCAACTTCTGTTTTGTTTGCTTAAAAATTATCAAATAAAGCCAACAAAAATGACATTTTGGTATCATAAATTACAGGAATTTTAAATTGTAGCAGATTAGATAAAAAAATGTGACTTTTGTAGGCTTAAATTGAATTTTTTTCAGTATTTGTGGATTTTTCAATGAAAATGTTTATTGATTTATATATTTTTACATATTTCACAAAATTATTGATAAATTAACAAGACAACAATTTTGAGGGTGCCACAATAGTTTCATCACTTCAAATTCTGTTATGTCAACCTATAGTGTTCAAAATTATAGTCCTAATATGAAATCTTTAAAAAAATCAAAGATCAAAGTCTTCACCAAGAATTCGCAAAAAAGCTTCCATTCTCAAAAAATTATTAATCTTAAAATTTAATAATAATAACTTTAAAAAAAATTATATCAACCTTGTGTTTTTCTATACAAAAATTTAAAAATTTCCTTACATCAACTTTGAGAATCTTTCGAATAATGAAAATAAAATAATATTTTTCTTACTCGCACTTTTTGTATTCTTGGAAAGGAAAATCATTGCACGACAAAAAGAAAGCTTTAATAATATATATTATTTTTTGAAGAATTAAAAGGAAAAGTCTCGAAAAATGTTGAGAAAGATTTCAGCATTGCCCTTTGAAGTGAAAATATAATCCTTCTTTTGTGATTGCCGTGAGGTTTCATTTCGGAAAAAATTGTTCGTTCTTTTACATCAAAAAATTTATTTATTTAAAAAAAATTGTTGATTTTTTTTTAAAAAAAGAAAGATTCTTTCAAGTGATAGGCGTGTGTGTGGCTATGGCATAAAAATTTGAAATAAAATTATTTTTAAAAATTTGAAAGGAATTAAAATTGAAGGACATAAATAACAAATTTTAGCTTAATTAAATCTTCACTTTTTGTCTCAATTTATGATGATATGAACTCACTTGATATATTCTTTATTTTACCATCGCATCTGTCACTTTAAAAGCAATTTTTTTTTATTCTCAATTATTAATTATTTTAACTTAATTAAAATTTCTTTTATCTTCATTTTTTTATACAAATTCAATTTAATTTAATTATCGTGTGGTTTTTTATTCGTTGTCACTCATCGTTAAGCTTTTAACTCTTCACAGTTTTTATTACATTCCATCTGCGTGGCTGCAAATTTAGGTGTAAATGGAAATGATATGAATTGGTATGTTGGAGAGTATTTGGAGGTCATTGGAGTATGATTTGAGTTTTTATGAATTTTCTGAGCAATAAAAATATATTTTTGCATTGGCTTATCTACATAATACTTTTGGGGTACCATAGCTTTGTTGTGGGTCTTTTTAAAGCTTATTTCTCGAAAAAATATAAAAAAATCCATAAAAATTCAACAACCAACCCTCAAACTTCTCCCTCAACCTCCTAATACAAATTAACCTCAACTTTGTTCATCTGTGGAACAAAAACTAGCTCAGCATTAAGCATTTCTTAACTTAAAATATCCATAGATTCTTTAAAATCTCAATATAACCAAGCAGCATCAATAAAACATTAAAAACGAAGACGATATGATGAGAACATAGAAAAAATTATCATAATGATTATCAATTTTATGAATATCGAAAAATGATTATTAACACATTTAATCCTAATCCTATACCATATTCACATATTTATCTTGCTGTGTCATGTATTCAGGCGAGAATGTTTGTGAAGCCATTGCGCCACTCATTGCACCACCAGAGAGGCCAAAATTCGATGTTGAATAGCCAGAATGACTCATATTGTAACCAGATTGGCTTTGATTATTAAAATAATCCATTTGCGTATAGTATGATGGTGTATTGTAATTATTCGGATTGTACTGATTGTATTGATTATGCCAGAAATTGTAGGACTCATGATTCGGTACATATGATAATGGACCGCTCGCCTGTGGTGTTATAGGTGGCGATGGTGTTGTCATGATTGATGAGTTTGAGCCGAGTGGTGTTAAATTTCCGCCAGTTTGACTCAATCGTGAATTTATATTAAGATATGATGCATGATGTACAGATGAAATGCCCAAATCACTATCCTTGAGACTATCATATCCAGATGATCCACCTGAGCCTGGTTTTATATCCATCGTACCATTATTAATGTTTTGATTACCAAGACCATTCTGATGATGATATGGCAGCTCTTTCTTGCATATGACATTAATTGGTGGACTCACAGACGTCGATGGTGTTATTGGTAATATAGGCGATGATGTACTATGATGATTTCCTGTGCTTAAAGCACCTAAACTATTATTGATAGCATTCGACGTTGCATTCGAGCTATTTGATGAATTATTATTATTATTATTGTTATTATTATTAGAATTGCCAGAATTATTTGCATTTGCTGACAGTGCGTGCGTTGGTGTCACTTTTATATGTGACGATTTTGTAACGCCTGTTGAGTTGTTTGTTGAATTACTCGTCGTATTTGTTGTTTTACTTGATGATGACGACGACGTTGAGGTGGAATTAGCGTTGCGATTTGATGAACCCGATGTTGTTTTTGAACTATTGAGATTCGATGTTGCTGACGAGGTTTGATGTTGCAATTGTTGTCGACACTTGGCTCTGCGGTTCTTGAACCATACCTGATGAAAATAGATTTTAAAAATTAGTTTTAAATCTTGAACGAAATTGATTTTTCAGTGAGCAAAAAAATAAGAATTAAATTATTAACGATTTAAAGATCTTAGAAGACAATCAAGTGCTATTGAATAGACTCTTTTAAAATTAATTTTATCCCTTTTCCGATTTTTTAAACCACAAAAAAATCCCCTTTTTTAAAGACTTTATCATCAAACGAAATAAACATATCATTCGCTTTGTTGGGCATGAAATGGCACGGAGAGAAAGAGGAAATTTTCAATCGTGAAAAAATCTCTGTGTAATCAAATAAACACACTGAATTGCAGTTTTTTTATTTATTTCATTTCCCACTCACTCTTTGGTAATTTTTTTCTGAATGAATAAAAAAAAATTGGTGGTTGGATGTTGAAATGAGTAGTAAATGAATATAAAAAGTAAATTAAATTTCAATTTTCACATTCAATGAGATTCTTTGAATGAATAAAGTATCAACTTTCAGTGTGAAATAGCTGTAGGATAGACAAGAGATGAGCGAAATGTGGCACATGTAAGGAAACTCATTAAAATAATTTTCCAACCCTCATTCAGCACAAGTGATTCGTACATTGTTGTGAAACTTTATCCACAATTTGAGGGTGGAATATAAAGCAAATGTTGTTGGAAGATGCAATTTGTCAGGAAAAGGGATTTTTCACGATACTTTGATTTTTCCCATTTTTCCAATTACATATTCATTATCATCATTTCCCTCTTTTATTCATGCTTGCTTACATAAGGAACCTGACATAATAAAAGTCCATTAACAATCTACTCTCTTGCTCTGCCAGAAAATTGAATTGAGCGTATCGAATTTCAGTTGTTTGATGTTCATTTGACTTTTTATTAACGTCATGTTGAGATTTCTTATGGCATGATGTTTGTGGGTTTTTATGGACATTTATGCGCTTTTTGAGTGGATTATTTATGCAAAATTTGACAGCTTTGGGAGTTGTGTATTGCTGCAAATTGATTTTTGAGTTAATTTAACAATATTGTTTGATGAACAAGGGAAGTTCTTCCTCTTTATTTTGAATTGGATGCTGACTTTGGACTTTGCAAATGTGAATACTCCGTGGTCTATTCTGAATCTAGCAATTAGAAATTAATTAAAAACAGATGATGCACTCACTTCAAATTCTCGATATCTAATCAAAGGCTATACTAGATTGTCGAAAAAGTTAAAAGATGCCATTATTGAATCAAATCCAGATACTAATATCCAGAATAATAATTCTCAACATCTTTAAAATTATCCAAACATCCCTCAACACTTTAATTCCATGTATGAAAATCTCCGAATCAAATGAAGCCATATTGATGCAAAAGAAGTTAAGTAAACAAAGCAAAAGACACAGAAAAAAGGGGGAAAACCTTGAACAGAAGAGGAAAAATTTTTTAATTCCATCCGTAACGAAAATTCTTTACAAGATTCCTCCCCGCATGCCTCAATCTGTGTACAATCTCAACAATTTTTATGTTCTATTGTAAGCCACAAATGAAATAACACTAATCCATGCCATTGCAATTCTTCTTGTTGTTAATTATACAAGGACTTTACATACATTGTTCACTATTCTCTTCCTTATTTGGAGACATATCAGTTTTGGCTCGTAGGAAAAGAAATAAGGAGGACTTTTAATCCACATAGAAAAAAAAAATTGTTTGTTGTATGGCACTCGACATGAGAAGCCCTTGAGAATTTTAATCTCTTCCACTTTAATGATGGATCTTGTATCGTACAAATGCACTTCATCTTCTCCATCCCATTCCTCTTCATTCTGTTCATCTCAAGCATTTAAATATTCATTTTTATCAATACAGAATAGAAATTCTATTCACATAAAAAGAGATGTTAGGAATGTCCATTAAGATCATCAATATTTCATCAATGATGTAAATAATGTGACATTTCGATTTGTCATCGAACACGAAAATGGAAAGTAAAGAAGAGACATGAAAAAATTCTTTTGTAATTTGTGGCTCATAAACTAGCCTGAATGTCCAAAGAATAGGATGAATTCTGCAATGTTATGTCAGTTTTTTTGTATAAACACAGCCGCAACAATTTTGCTCAGCTGTTGGTAATAAATATATTTTTTTTCTTTTTTAAAAAATCATTGACCTTCATATGGAACTGTCTATGTCCTTTGAACATGAAAAAATAATTTAATACCTTACAAGACTTTCAAATCTTCTCCTAACCCAACAATACCAACCATTCACATTTAATTAATTCCGGAAGAAATTCATAAATAAATTTGAAATCTAATTTCAAGCATATCAAATGCACGTCATTGTCTGTGTAATAAAATCAAATAAAATTTGTAAGAAATATCATCATCATCATCATCATCAGTGATTGAGGGATGAATAGAGATATGAATGTAGGGTGTTGTGTTGTTTACTTTTATGATTTATGATATCATATGTGCGTGGATGAATATTGATTAAATTATTTTATGGATAGTTGGTTGGGTATTGTTGGATGGTTCTAGAGTTTCTTGGTGGAGAATTAAAAATAATTAAGGATTTTACAGAATGAATTGACTATGAAAGAGTTTTATTTGGTGTTCTAATTTTGGCTTTATGTATGCATTTGTGTTGAATCTGTGAATATTTTTAAGTTAACTGAATTTATTGCAATACTTTTATCAAAGCTGGAAATTGGTTAATGACGGAAAAATAAAAAATCTGGGATTTTTAAAAAGAGAAGTAAAATCGAAACTTTCTGAGTTTAGGTATCAAAATTTTATAAAATCTTAAAACCCGAAGAAATTCACTTTTTTAAATTGTGTTATTGCATCATTTATCCTCTAAAATTGCTTATTATGTTTTTTAAAAACCTTATTCAACAAAGTTAAAAGTTATCCTCAATTCATAAGCTAGTTACAGTTAGATAACAATTCGTTTACAACCCATAAATTATATAAATAAAACCATCGACAGAATATACATCTATCTTCAAATATCCTTTAATTAATTCATTAAATTCATTCAATCAGACAGATATTTTCTTATACATATTATTTATTGCTTTATAACAGACGTCATTGTAAGAATTGAATGCATTTCATTTATAATTTTTTATTATTCTTCAACTGATGCCCAAAACTGTTGGTTTTTCAATTCCTTTCGTTTATTATTATTGCTGTACATCTGATTGAATCTTAATCAATGAGAAATGAATTCATTCTTCTTGCTTAAAAAAAAGAGAGAAACCTTAACGTCTGTTAAAAAAACTCGTTTTTACTTCTTCTTTTTCTTTTATCCTTTCTTCGACATTCCTGAGCTATTACAAATGCCCTTTTCTATGTTTTTATATCCCCAGACAGTTTGTCTCTATTTTTTATGTGCATCATGATGCATTCCACACTCAAATTACTTCTCAATTAGCTCCTTATCATAAACAGATCATCAACTGTGTTTTTGTATACCCAAAAAAAAAGACATGCAATTATTGTGAAAAGAAAATTTTTGTAATTTGATATTTTTGTTGTGATTTTTTTTTTGTATGATTTCTTAACAAAAATTTCATTTTCGAGTACTTTCGAGTGGTTATTGAAACGTCAACACCTTTGTACTGCAATATCAGGTAATTTGAGGATTTTTACTGAATGTGCATTTCGTATTCGTGAAACTTTAGAAGTTCAATTGATTTTATTTTTTGTGTGTAATGTTATATGAAGCATGAAATGGCATGGTAAGGCGGCTGACGAAAATAGGTTAAAGAAAGCAATATTGATTGAACATTTTACAAATGCTCGTTGTTCTTTTTTTTGCAGCCAGTAAAATGCATTTATCGGGATTCCAGTCAGTGACTTTCTTCGTTTTGTGGGAGTTATTCAGGGATGATGTGTGATTGAAATAACTATTTAAGAATATTTTGTGCTATATGTTTGAAAATGAACTCACAATATTAAATTTCTAGCTAAACATCACTTTTGCTTGACCACAATGTCTAAAAAAAAAGTTCAAGGAACATTGGCAGTTGGAAGAATATTCTATTCCAATTTCAAGCAAAGAAAAGAAATCCATTAAGCAAACACGGTAAGGAAATATTCAATAATTAAATTATAGCACAAACATTCACATTCAAAACCGTAAGTGAGTGTCAATTACACAACATTCTCATTTTCCCTTCTCTTTCTTGCCTCACATTTCAGTTCGCCGTCGGCAAAGTAAGCAAGAACCAGCACAGAAGTCCAAAAAGAAGTTCTCCGTGTGTTTTGTTAACAGAAATATAATGTTTGTAAAGTAAACACTTCGTGTTATATCAATTATTGTTTCTGCTCAATTTCGGGTTCCTTGTTTGTTCTCGACAAACATCAATAAAAATATATTTCTAGCTGAATGTGTAAATAACAATTTTTTTTCTCACTCTAGAATGGCGCAAAAAATAAATCTTTTAGAAGTGAAAAATCACAGCTGTTTTCGGTCTCATGATGTTTGCTGTGTTGTATTTCAGAGGACTTTCTTTTTGGAATTACTTTGGCTTGGGACTTATATGAAAATTTTATTGTGATTGTTTTTGTGGAGGGTTAGAAACTACAAATGATAGATTCTTGCTATCAAGATTTTTTGAACTAGCATTTGATAATTGTATACATTAGGTTAGGATCTTTAGGAGCAGCTATGTTCTGTTCATACTCTAGTATCTATTAAATACACTCAAAGATCTCCTAATACTGCTCAGTATAGCTGTATAGCCTAATTTGGTAGAAATAAAGTCCAAAAAGCAAGTTTTCTAAGCATAGGTTTTGGAGCGGTAATCAAGATTTATTGGAGATGTAGAATGAGTTCAAAATTACATCAATCGTTAGCTTGGAAAGAATTTAAACCAGATTGTGTAATTTTGATGTTAGAACTTTCAGTTTCAGCTACCTAACCTCAAAATTCATCCTCCTTCATTATTTTAACAATTTTTGTGCTTCCATTTCGAAAAATTCTTAACTATAAAATATTCCAATGAGAAAATTCCTCAAAAATACTCAAAAAATCATGACGGAACCACACAATTAATTATCATAACCAAGGGAAAATTTATTAGCGCCCGAAACAAAAAAAAGCTAAGTATGTAGTCAAGACTTATAATTAATGCCATTTCATACAAATTTTTCACTGTTGTAAAGGTAGACTTGCCACAAATGTATTTACTTAATACATTTTTTTATATACTTTTTTTTTAAATTAAAAGCGAATGTCTGAGTAGGAAATTTTTCATACATATTCAAGCATTTTGCTCACAAACAATGGCTTTACACGAATTATGGACACCAAAAGAGAGGCAAAAGTAAAAATTTATGAAAATTTATTCCATTAAAACATAGAAATGAGAGTCAAGAAAGAATAAAATTCATGTTTGATTTATGAAATTGGATAAAAAAGCGAATGAAATAAATGCTTTTTTTTGACTGCTTATTGTTGAGCCATGAAAGTGGTCAAGGTCTCATGATTCTCTTTCTACTTCTGTCTTGACAAAAAAATATATACGAGTCTGATGTTATTTATGCGAATTTTCGTCTGCCAAATGAATTAACAACACAACTTTTGGTTATACAGCGCCTTAAAAAAATTGATCATCAATATCTTCTTCATGTTTATTTGCTTTATTCTGTTTTTCGCTTTAAAAACACACAAAAAACAAGAATGGTTTTTTAATGATTGTTTCAGCTTCATTTGGTATCACGAATCGCATTTTATTTTTTATATAAATTTTTTTTTCATCTCCTCTTCTTAAGTCTTCTCATTTTTGGACTTTTTTTTGTGCCTTGCCAGTAAAATGGCGGATATAAAATTATGATCATCGTTACTTAATATACTTTAGCGGTCAATTAAAAAAATATTCTCTTTTTTTGCTCATTAAAGAAACCTTTTAAAAGCGATATGTGTACATACCTGAACTCTCGATTCCGGCAAATTAATTTTTAGTGCAACTTCTTCTCTCATGAAAATATCTGGATATCTAGTCTTGCCAAACAGTGACTCGAGTACATCGAGTTGAGCTCTTGTGAATGTTGTTCTCTCTCTACGTTGCTTTCTTGGATTTACGCCTGTAAATAGATGATCTGTTAGATATTATTGCATTTTTTGAGATAATTCATGTAGCGTGATTTTAACAAATTTTGATTGATTCTTGATTTTTTTGTAAGTTTAAAATACATTTTGACAAAATTGCTAAAATGATTAAGAAAGCTATAAATTGAACTGTAAGAACAATTTTATAAACTTCTCAAACATTATTAAAATAAAGTTTTAATTCTTAAATTTGAAAATAGAATTTTAAAATCCTCTTTAATTTATCATATTTAATTTAATCCTCCTCACATATTTTCTACTCATCGTTATCATTAATAAAATTTGAATTAATATTCCTTTACTTTAATTTCCCTCAAAAAACAGAATCAATTAATTTTAATTAATTTTAAAACTTCTGTCAATATTCCTTTAAATTCATAACTGTGTCAATAAATCAAATATGGATTTTTTTTTCAAAGCCCTGCAACACAATCGGTATTATTAACACCTTTTTTCACTCACTCTATCGAATTTTATGTTTGTTTGTCTATAAAGAGAATCTATGCGCAGCCCATTTGTGAAATATTTTGATCCGAAATGTAAACATTGGTTGGATTCACCCCTCAAACAATAAAAATTTCATTTTCATGTATTTATGATGTCGACAAAAATTGCAACAATGCAAAAGGAACTCATCGTCACATATTGTCATGATTATTATTAGAAATTGTAAAGGCGTGATTTGGAATCTAGAAAATTTTCAATTAATTTCTGTTCACAGTTGATTGTCACAATCTAGACATGAGGGGATGAGAAAATTTATCAATTTTTTGGCTTTAACAAAAGAATTTTTTTTTGCAACTGTTTTCAATTTTTTTTGTTTGTGCCTGACTGTAACAGTTCAGGATAGTTTTAAAAAAGGGTATCAATGATATGACAGTTACGATATTGCAAACAATGGAAATAAAAAATAATTTTTGAGGGAATAATTTCAGCTTTTTTATCCATTTCAACTTCTAATACAAATTTATGACATTTTAAGACTTTCATTGCCAATAAAAAATTTTATTAAAGAAACAATATTTTATGGATTGATATAGGGTAAGCTTTTATAAATGGCGGGGTAATGTAGATTTATGAAATTACTTGCAATCAATCCATTAACCATTTTTATTGGCCTCGATTTGAGCACTCGGAGACGATAAAATGAAAAATGGATTTTTTATGTGTTCAGCAGGAAAAAAAATTATTGATTTAATGATAAGTGAATGGATATGAATGGAATTATTGTTGTGCTTGGTCAGCTCAAAATGGCTAGTTGGAAGTGAATATCATGAATTTTGTCATTTTAAAGGTTTGAAACTGAAAAATTAATTTCAAAAATTATTAACACCAGAGACAAAAACCCTCAAAATTCGAACAATTTTCCCCTAATTTTCCGAACCCAACAGCTCATTTTTCATGGGAAAAACTTCAACAACAAACAGACGTTCCAAATAAAATTCTGAATTTTTCTCCGTTCATCTGAAAAATTTCTCATTTTCCTCATGTTTACATAATTCAATTGAATTAAAATGTATTTTTTCCATCCTCTAGTTTTTCCAACCATTCATGTACATGAATTGTTATTTTTACGAGCAAGTCATAGAAACACCAACGCCTCAATGTTGTTGAAAAGGGAAGAAAAGTGAGTTTTATTTTTCTAAGGGAATGTTCCTTATGGCTGTATAAAGTGATAATTTATGTATTTATTATGCTCGAGGGCCCATTATGTGTTATTTGCAATTCTCACCATTGTCAGCCTTTCCCTATGACTCCATTGATAAATGTGAGGGTGGAAAAGTAGCGTAATGTATCTAAATTTAATTTATGTTTATCTTGTTACATTTGAGATGCTAGATTGGTGCTCAAATTAATTCAATTTTATCATCAACTTCTGTCGATTGAGCTTCAAGATTTTGCTTCTCATCCACATGCCTTTTGGCATCCCCCGACAAGTGAAAAGTAAATATTTACATTGTACAACACACCTACTGCTTCGGATGTAACCTCATTCAAATTGATATCCGAGTGTGTGTGCATAACAAATTTACTTATTGACACGTGACATAAATGAATTTTGTAAGGCGATATATGACTGCATAAAATGAGATAAACGTTAAGAAATTTTTTTATTAACCTTCACATCTTGATAATCGTCAATTGATCATTAATCTTTTGACTTTATATGGACCTTGCTTATACACGCACATGCTTGAGGATAGAGAGAAGCATGAGAGACGAAGAAAGAAAGGAAAAAAAAATATTTATCACTTAATTAGCAATTTTGATGGCAAACAACGAGCTTGTTTGTTTAATTTGAATTGTGCAAATGCTTAGGATTATGAATGTGTACACGAGATGGTGAATGGATACAGTTGACAGCTATTGCTGAAACTTTTTTTTGATAATTTTTTTTTCAAACAGTTCTGATTAATTAGTAAAACGAATCGACTTGTGGATGATGTTAATTTTTTTTGTGTGTCGCTGGATGCAGTCAAGGTGTCAATTTGTTTGATTTGATTATGCAGGAAATTGAATTTATAATTACTTGTCGAATGGGGGTCATTTAGCTTTAAGGTCTGTGGATAACTAGGGAAGGGGGCACGACATTTTAATGAGAAATTATATTTATGTGACTGAGAATTATGAAACAGTGAGGAGGGTTAAAATGAAAGACATGCGATGTGAAGGTCCCCTAATTTGATTTGGACTGATAAAAAATTTGTGTCATGATAATGAAATTTTTCGGTGGGTTCAATATTATTTTGTCTTTAAGAATGTTTAAGTCAACAGCTTTTGAAGGTCTTTAGATGTTGATTTGAACTTCTGGACTATTATATGATGCGTTGTTATATTTTATGGACAAGAACACCATCTAAATAAGTGTAAATCCTAGACAACTTCCGGCGAATTTGTGCAACCCCAAATTCTCCAAATTTTAATTTTTTAACTTCTTCATCTACAGTAGCTCGTTCACAAAATAACTACTGTTCTCCCAGCAGAAAACCACAAACAGATCCCAAACATCCAAAGCACAAAAAAATTATTCATCTCTCTTCAAGAAGCTCATACAGTAGCTAGTTTTGAAGTATTAAAAGATTATTTATCAACACATTAATCTGCATATCTCTCGATAAAATCACATAAAATCTCGTCGTCGTTGTTTGTCTGATAGATAAGTTGGAGGCTACAAAAAAAATTAACATTTTTTCGTCTTTCTTTCCTTTCTCACTTCTTTCATTCTTTCTTCAAATAAAAGAAAAGAGTCTCAATTCAAAGTCGTTCTCTGTCGTCTCCAGGAATCCATAATTCTTCATCGCATTTTCGATTGCCTTGTTTGTATTTTTTTTTCTTGTGGATAAAATTAAAGTTTTACATTTTTTCAGGGAGATTTTTGTGGCATAAAGATTAAAACACAACAACGATGATGATGAAGAGAAATCTTCGATTTGGTTAATAGCACGTGCCGTGCCATAAAAAGAGTTAAACAAAATGATTTCTTTTCTGTCTCGCTCGCCGTTGATTCCAATATATATCCAATATTAAAAAGCGATGTCGAAGAAAGAACGAAATCACTTACCGGGAGGACTTCTTTCTTTATGTGCCATGGATGGAGATTTTTAAGTATGTATCAATTTTATTATCGTTAGAGAAATAAAAGCTTTTTTTTCTGTGCGATATCACATTTTAATATTTTGAATTAGCATGTATAATGAGTGGTGGGGATTTTTGAGGGCATTTTGTCAATTTTGTGGATAAGTTAAGGTTGTTTGTGACATAACATTTAGATTTAGAGCGAATTTTGTTGTTTTTATCGAAGATATTGAGGTAAGTTTGGGATAGACTTTAGATTTTGGAGTATAATTTGAAGAATTTGGCTTCGATAGCCGTTATTGTTGGATATAAAACAGAATGGTTCTATATTTTGTATAATTTTGAACAATTTCAACTTTTACGTAAAAATCGAGCATATAAACTATTAAATGACATGCTCTATGCAACCAATAAACGCACAATATCCTCTAAAGCCCCAAACACCAATCCCTACTCATTTTCTCATACCATCTGTTGAAAATTAAATAACTTGTCGATTAATTCCTTAAAAGAACATTCCATCCAACGTCTCACTTCTTCTTTTACACATAAAAAATTCTCTTTAGACTTTAATTTGCATACATTAAAAAAAAGCAAATCGATTTTATGTTTCTATAGCGAAAATTTATATATTTTTTAACTCTCAACCTGAGCAAGAAAAGAAAAGAATTTTTCATAAATTTTTTAATACATTAAGAATCGATGAACAAAAAATATTTTTAACAAGTTTCTTTTCGAAGAAATTTATATTTTGTGGCTACCAAAACATCGCTGATTCTACACATTTTGTATGTTTTCAGTAATCAGCAAGAAAGACGGAGAATAATTAAAGAGAAGAAGCTGTGAGTGTTGCGGCATAATAAAAAATTTCACAAAATAAATTTCCTATGTCATTACAATTATAATAAATGACTGTCTTTCTACCACTTTATAGCGACTGAATATGACAATGTTTTTTTTTTGCTTCTCCCGACGACTGTCTTATGAAACATAATTAAATTTGCATTTATGATTAATGAGGTGGTTTTGCTAATTTTTTTTCGTTTTGTTTATTTTTTTTTTGTTGCAACTGGAAACAAGTTGTGGTCAGTTAGTGTGCTGTGGCTTTAAGTTTTGTTGGTTTTGAAGATATTTTTACTGTTTATTAAAAAATTAATTAACTTTTAAAATTTTTTTGAAAAGTTTATAGCTGATTTTAAGGTTTAAAAATTGAGGAAAAAAATTGGACATTTTGAAAATTTGTCAAGCTTTCAAGTTTTTGTTACCAGGAAAATTAATCTAGCACATAAAAAAGCAATAATTCTACTTTATTGCCATTTATCCAATACCTTTCTATGAAGTAATAAATCTATGGCGCTATGATAAGCTTCATAGACGCCAATAAAATACCACACTACTC